TTTCCTCTTCTCAGCCGAAGCCTTTTTCCCCCATTTTTCTTGCTCTCTCTGTCATCAGACCCCCCCCCATTTTTCTTGTGTGGGTGAAAGTATCAGGTGCCGTGCGGAAGCTCTGTTTTGTGCTCAGTGCAGAAGCTTGTTTGTTTCAGCTCGGTAAAAGTTTGTGTTGCTCAAGTGTTCCGTTGCTTTAACTCAGACCAAGTGTTCCGTTGCTTTTGTTTTCAGAATGTGTTCCGCTGCTTTGGTCTTTGCTTTGCTTTGGATATTGTTTTTGTTGCGCGGCACTTTCACTATGATTTGATCAAAATTTTGACTTCACTCATTTTCCCTCCATTTGATACCAAAAATCATGTTTTTTTTTGGATTTGTAATATGGTTTGAACCATAGATTTTAATGCTATAGTATTATTCTTTATTTTTTAGCAAAAAATAAAAATTTTCATCAACATAGGTGGCAAAATTTGTTAATTTCATATAATTGAAAATGTACTTTTATAATTTGCTAATATTTTATACTAATTTCTTACAATTGCAGCACTAAAGAACATCATGTAATTGAAAATAATTAAACTCAAATTATATGGTTATAACATAGTTTCAATAAAAATAATCATTTTCCCAACATTTGAGACCAATCATCATGCTTTTTTTATTTTTAATTTGGTTTGAAGCATAGATTTTATTGCTATAGTATTATTCTTTATTTTTTAGTACAAAAACACAAATTTTCATCAATATAGGTGGCAAAATTTGTTAATTACATATAAGGGAAAATATACTTTTATAATTTGCAAATATTTTAGCCCTGCAATTTTTTATAATTGCAGCACTAAAGTACATCATTAATTGAAAATAACGAAAGTCAAATTCTATGGTTATAACAGACTTTCATTAAAAATAATCAAATGCTATTAATAAGACATTATTGTTAAGTCAAAATCAAAGAAAATTTAGTGATGACATAATGTTATCACTAATTTATTCAAGATTATAATGACAAGAAAAGTCGTCACTAATTAAATTGCTAGTTTTTAATATTGTCAATTGCTAGTTTTTAATACTTTTGTGAAAATATTGATAATGGTTGAGAAAATTTTGTTACATTACTGCAAGTGATAAATGTACTTTTGTTCTTTTTCAAACATTTATTTTAATGTTTAATTTTGTTTAAAACTATTGTACTAGTATAGATTTGCAAGACAAAACTTAAGTTCTCAATAGTTAAAAAATTCATTACAGAGAAAACACAAAGTAGTAGTTGCAAAATGTGTATAAATTACAGATATTTTAATGTGTATAAATTACAGTTTATTTTAATGTTTAATTTTGTTTGAAACTATTTTACTAGTATAGATTTGCAAGACATAGATTTATGGGTAATTTCTTTTTTTTTTGCTTTCACATATTTAATTTATGTTAAATACAAAACCTACCAGTTTCCCTTTCATAAAAATATTAGTGCAACACTTTTTGAATTTTACTTACAAACATTTATGTATTTAACATAAATTAAATGATTCAGAGTGAAATGCCCATAAAGAGCAGAATATTTGTTCATGTAATGGAGGAAACCCACAAAGAGTTGGTACTTTATGGGCCATTTCTTTTTTTAAAAAAATTTAATTTATGTTGAAAAGATAACCTGCCAGTTTTCGTTTTGTAAGAAATCAGTGTAACACTTTTTGAATTTTACTTGCAAACATTTATAAATTTATCATAAATTATATGTTTGAGAGTAAAATGCCCATAAAAAGTTGGTACTTTGAATAGATAATGCTCATTTGCCCATAAACTACACTCCCTGAAGGCTATTTTGTTAATTACTTTGTAGTACTTTGTTATTCCTTTGCTAATACTACTTGGCATGTAGTACAAAGGATAAATCTGGCATAAATTTCTTATTCCATTGATAAAAGACCTGCCTGCCTTATAACTATTGTAATGAAAGATATATCTTTAGAGTTTATAACAAATTATTACTTAAGTTTGAGAAAATTATAAAATATTTATGCATAGTTTATCAAGATACCATTCGCAATTTCCTAATAAAAAAATAGGGGCTAAATTGTAAAAGCTAGGGTGCCATAATAGAAATAATAAAATTGGTGTATTATATATGGGGTTAAATTGTAAAAGTTAGAGTGTCATACTAGAATTAATGAAATTGGTGAATTACATATGGGGCTAAATTACAAAAGTTAGGGAGTAATAATAGAATTAAAGAAATCGGTGTACTACATATGGGGCTAAATTGTAAAAGTTAAGGTATCATAATGGAATCAATGGAATTTTTTACAACATTTGGGGCTAAATTATAAAAGTTAGGGTGGCACAGTAGAATTAATGAAAGTGACTTAGAAATAAGTACTTTAAACAGTGACGATTAATTCTTATCACTAAATCCGAATCGGTAGAGTGACAGTGACGATATGAGAAGTTGTCACTATATAGATCATTTTAGTTACAACTTTTTCAAGGTCGTCACTGAATACTTAGTTGCTTTGAGCAATTATGACAACTCTCCTTGTCGTCACTAAACAACCACGTTTTGTGACGACTTTTGTCGTCACTAAAAAATGTTGTCACTAATGACCATATTTCTTGCAGTGTAGTTTGTGACGAAAATAACGGGTCGTCACTAAACATTTAGTTGCTTTGATGCAATTGTGACAACTTTAGGTGTCGCGACTAAAGAAACTCCTTTTGTGACAACTTATTGTCATCACTACAAAATGTTGTCACTAATAACTTTTTTTTTTAGTGATCAGTGACGACAACAAACACTCGTCCGTAAATAGGCCAAGCAATAGTGATGATGTTCTTAATGTCGTCACTATTGTGTGTTCTAAACACTGCCGCGCTCTTGCTAAATCTTGGCGGGAATTTACTAGTGACGAAAAAGTCGTCACAAATGAGTTGGCTCCCATTAGAGGTTTGTGACGAGTTAGAAAGTCGTCAATAAAGGATCCACTTTTGTGACAACTTTTTTTCGTCACAGAGAAAAGTTGTCACTGATGACCAATTTTCTTGTAGTGACCCTTGCACTCTGTTTTTCCGCTTGTCTGACCTGTCACCGCAGCAGCACAACAGCGACCGAAGATGAAGAGGGCTGGGGTTCTGGGGTTTTTGGTGAGCTTGGGGTGGTTCTGTGGTTGGTGGAAGGAAGAAAAAGGAAGCTGGTTTTTCTCCTTCACCCAGGTCCGAACAACCCAGCAGTAGTAGCAGCGGCAGGAGCAGCGAGAGTAGCAGCAGGAACAGCGATCTTCTCCTTCCTCTTGATCGATCGAGGCAGCAGCAAAGAGTAAAGGTTGATGCTGGAAAAGGAAGGTGAAGGTAGGAGTTGAAGGTTAGTGAAGATGGAGAATCGGTGGAAGCTGTGGAAGAGCAGCGGCTCCTGTTTCTTTCTTGCACCCGAAGATCAGAATTTGGAGGGAAGATAGGGACGTGAAAGCTGGGATAAGATGGGTTGAAAATGAAGGTAAGCTAAAGGTATAGGTTTGTTGACTTTTGGGCCTGCCATTAAGGGTGAGGAAATTTTGAATTGAATCGCGTTTACGCGCGAGAATTTTATCTACTGGTAGGAATTCCCCACTTAACATTTCCTCAACTTAGTTGTACATTTTTATAACCTCTAGATACCCTACATTTCAACTTAGGGCTACATTGCGCGTTAGTGAGCAAAAATTCACCCTAATGCTTAGCCGAACGCGAACCGTCAAATAAATTTTTAATAATTCATGTAAATTAAAATATAACATTTATATAAGTGAAAACATCATTAATAATATAAATACACATTATTAAATATAAATACATATTATTTACTAATTTCAACATTTAAATAATATTTTGATTTTAATTTTCAGAAATTAATGCAATTTTGAGATCCTCACATACTAAACATCTTTGCTATTTTTGCTGTTTAGTATACCAAAGGAGCATGGTTTTTCTGCCAACAAGGAACTAGATGAGTGACTTGAGATCAAGCCTGGGGAGCATGTTAATTTCTGTATTGACCCTGTTGCTGCAGTATTTACTCAAACAGAGGTAGATGACAAGAATAAGCATGAGGATATGTAGCTACAAACCGTGTACCTTAAAAAGTGCTTAACCACTGGGAATGTATGAATATCACCTTTTGCTATTATATTTAGTTTTTTTTTTGGTGGGGTTTTTTGGTATTGTTTTTTTGGGGGGGTCATTTTTAGTTTTTTTTTTTATCAGCACAAAACGAATACACATGCTCTCATGCTCTCAAATTATTTTTTATATATCATTTTTTAGGTGATGGGAAACCTAATCATGACTTTAATAGCTTAGTAATGACATATTCTTTTTTGTTTTGGTGAAGAAATCTTAATTCCTAAACAAATAGGTTACAACCTCAAAGCATGTTTCATGTTGATATTTTTTTATAACATACAATCTCAAAATTTATATAAAAAAAATAGAAATCCAAATCAAATCGCGACTGTGGAGAAACATCAAGATCAAGCACAAGACTTTTGACTCAAATTCGGAAATTAATAGAGTTCAAAATAGCTACAAATTTGTTTTCTGTGTGCTTCTTGTGATAATTTGGCCTTAGGCAACTGTTTAGATGAGAAATGGTCCACTTCCTGAAAACTCAGGTCTCAAAAGAGCTCAATCAGATGAGCACAACTATGCCTGTGTATCTCAATATTTTCTGCAATTTCGGGACCAAGGAGACGAGGAGTATATAATTTGCCTTGCATTGTCCGGAATTTAGCCTCGGCCAAAAAGGGATCCAAATCATAAGGCAGGTGGTTAGTATCAAGAAAGGATACTCAGAGGCAACCAGATGATGATTTCAAGTTGGAAGAATTCAACCCAAGTACACAAAAGACGGGATACAAATTAAGGGCAGATTTTATTTCGATCACATTCATGACAATCCTCATCTGGAAGAAGAAAAAAATCTAGTAGTACACAAGAAACTGCTGCAAAAATCTTGTAGAGCTAATCTGAAAGCATCTAAGCTAATTTGATGCAAACTGGCTGAGGTACTCATCAAGTGTGGTGTATTTAACATCAGGATAGAGCTCTGTTGCCTCCATGCCAAAAGAAGCCTTGATCTCAAATTTGGTTAGTTCTCCCTTCACGAAAACTGTGTATGCCAAAGACAGGAGCAATTTTAATGGCATTGAAGCCTCTGCGAAAGATACAGAAAAGAAACCAATTTGATTAGAACGCGGAATAGGTGTTAATAATAGTAGATGCTATTGTATTAAAATTAGCAACTTGTGCACTTTCTTCTTTTTGTTAGATGACCTTGAATTTTCTTAAGAACTTCGTCCCCTGGAACGTAGGTCTTTTCGAGGGTCTTGCCAATTTTCTTTTCCCACAATGATACTATTTCGTTGTAGGACAAAGTGTTGGCAGGTGGTGAAATGTACAGACTCTTGTTCAGAGTCCTTAGGTCATCTGCTGCTTTGATGGTGTATGCAGCAATGTCTTCTTCCTTGGTGTAAACAACTACAACGAAACATAAAATTGAAGAAAAAATTGAGAACGATGAACTCTAAAACATGATACTAAACCAATCAAGAAATGCAGCAGACAAGCTTCTTTCGGATCCCTTTTGGATTTCTGTCACCAAGAATGACAATTTTGTCTCTGGGAGGACTTGCAGAACCAGTGTCTCCAAAGTTGTTGAGGATATAATTCAAGTAATCAGCAAATCCATTAGATACTAAATAAGTGTAAGGTATCCCTTCTGCCTCAATAGCTCTGCGGATCTCAACCTTGGTCTTGCATAAGCTAGCAGCAGGCTCAACGGCATGCACACGATCCACATCACCCCCAAATTCAGAAGGTAAAAATCTCTGAAACCAAAGACTGCTCCTTCTTTAGGAATATGGAAGTCACAACTCACAAAGGGACAAACGCAAAAAATAAAAATCAAGAAAGAATTTGTAACACTGTATTGTGCTTACTTTGATGTTTCCAGCTTCTTTAATTGCTTCAATAATCTTAACTTGATGAGCTACCAAATCTCCCCCGACTGCAGAGATCACTATGTCAACTTGTTTGATTGCATTTACCAACTGCTGATGATTGTGTAGGTCTCCCTGTTCAGTCCATGCGTACACGTTAGTTTCTATAATTTTTTGAAAAAAAATTGAAACAGTATTTAGACAACGAAGAAAGAAATAACAGCACACAAGAAGAAATATGACTCCCAAACTCTTGAAACTCTCGATGATGGCTGCCTTCTTAGGATCTGAAATTGTGCTTTCTCGGACCAGTGCAAACGTTGGGTGCCCAGCTTTTGTGCTTGCTTCCACTACATATTTCCCGATGTTTCCAGTGCCCCCAATGATCAAAATCTTGCTTTTCACATCCATTTCCAACTCTGGGATGGTAGACTACTGCTGCAAAATTGGATGGAAACCGTAAATTGATGAGCTGAACAGATGCAGAAATGTGCCTATAGGCTGCAGCTTCGTGCACGGTTAATTTATAGAGGAAAAAGTATTCAAACTGGCAGGCAGCCCTGTCGCTGCAATTTCCTTTTGATGCTCTATTGGCTTCTGAAATTTCTAAAATGCTCCAAGAACCAATCAACGGAAGATTAGATAGTTGAACATTCTCACGAGGTTTCTCAAAAAATCATAGCACTAATGGATTCTTATTGGCCAAGATGCGCAATGTATTAGGGTGCTTGGCAATTGCGAAAGAGAAAGGTGGCCAAAGTCGATTGAATGTCCTTTTGAAGTGAAACTACTCGTTGGACATTCAGCGGTAGGATTTCTTCCCTGAATCAGTGATGACAAAACCTGAAGTAAGCGCTGACGAACAAAATGTTGAAGTAAACCAAAAAAAAAAAAGAGCATAAACTTAGTACTAAACGTTAAACAATGTGCTAGAATCTCTTCATTTGCACCGATACCATGAGAAAAAACCAAATGAAAAGAACAACATTTTGTTTATATTTCATCATATACTGATAGAAGCCTGTATTCATAGGCATTTAATCCAAACAATACAATTAATATAAGTAATAGACACAGTTTGTTTAGACACTACAATTCAGAAACTAGTAAAGGAATGGAGTCAATCAAGAGATTTATTAATTTTTTTGGCACAATCTATGGATGAGGATGAATTTAGCCATAAATCTCTCATTTTTAAGGGTCTCTCTTTTTTCTTTTTCTTTTTTTTGAATTTCTTGCTCATTAATTTTTGTTGGGCCAGGTGGTATTTTGAGCTAACTTCTGTGCATTTTGGATTAATGCAACTTCCAACCCTTAAATATTCATCCCAAGGACATAATTAAAGATGGTAGAGCTTCGCTAATTAAAAATCTAGTTAATTTGTTTAATATCCGACTTGGTAAGCTTGTCCAATTAGTGCTAAACCCTTAGGGCATGTTAAAATATGTTTACAAGGCACTGTGCAGTGTGCACTAGACCAGCCTTGGGCATGTCCTAACCTATGGACAATGTGATTTTTGAAAGCTAGATCCTCAAATGATGATATGTAGTCAATTTGTTCATTTAACTTCCTACGTATTTTATTTATAGCATTAAGGGCATAGATTGTAAAATATGCTATGGGTATAATACGAGGTATATGTATGCATATTATACAAGATTTATTTTCAAAGGTACGATTAAAAATTCGGCGTGTTCGGCAAAATTACTCATATAAATTTGTACATGTATAGTACGAACATATTTGAAAATTATGGAACTAAAAATATAGATAAATTTACTATAATTTTCAAAGAATAATTTTCCTTTTGATGCTTTATCGGCTTCTGAAATTTCTAAAATGCTCCAAGAACCAATCAACGGAAGATTAGACAGTTGAACATTCTCACGAGGTTTCCTCAAAAATCATAGCACTAACGGAGTCTTATTGGCCAAGATGCGCAATGTCTTGGGGTGCTTGGCAATTGCGAAAGAGAAAGGTGCTCAAAGTCAATTGAATGTCCTTGTGAAGTGAAACTACTCATGTGGGACATTCAGTGGTAGGATTTCGTCCCCAAATCAGTGATGACCAAACCTAAAGTAAGCGCTGATGTTGAACAAAATGTTGGAGTGAACAAGAAGAGCATAATGTTGGCCACCACATTAATTGTGGGGTGGGAGGTTAAGGATTCAAACCTTGCCTCCCATCAATGTGCCTCAATATGTGATTTGCTCTAAATTCATATGGGTGTGTGGTGCACCTGTGAGGACTCATATTTTAATTATTGCAAAATATTCTTAAATTGGTCATTTAAAAGTATTTTTGCATGTGAATTACTCACACTACAAGAATTTTGGTCATCAGTGATAACTACTTTTCGTCACAAATAATCAAAAAGTCGTCACTGATGACCATTATTGACAACATTTCTGTTGTCGCAAGGTCGTCACTGAATCTCCGTCGGTAAAAGTATACAGTGACGACTTTAAAGTCGTCAGTAAATAGAACCTTTTTTATGACAATCTATGTCGTCAGTAAAAGATGAAAGTATACAGTGACGACCTTAGAGTTGTCAGTGAATGAAACTTTTTATGACAACATATGTCATCAGTAAAAGCTATAAATCTAGTGACAACACCTTCTCTTGTCAGTGATGCAAGTGATGCATGAAGGGACGATAGTGAGGGCATAGGGGAATTAGTGACAACTTTGTTGTCAATAAACCCCTGATCAACTGTGGCAACAATCCCTTATCAATAGACAGTTTTGATTGAGTGACAATAACAATTGTCAATAAAGACATCCTGCCTAGAAAAATACTACTCATTTACAACACCTTACACATGACTTTCCTACTACAATAATATCTAAAAAATGAAAATATCAGCAATGTTTAATAAATAACAAATGTAGGCACCCATTACAATAGAATATGCCAAAATAATATATTAAATATTCAAATGTCATAAATAAGTGCAACATCATAGTACAAATAGTTTCATAAGTTTGAGTAGAACAAATACTACTCATATAAGTCAAGGCTGCACTAAAAAACATATTCCAAGTCCCAAAACATTTCCTGCGCTTCTGAAACATTTTCTAAACTTAAGACAGTACTATAACCACAGTTTTTGAGCCGACATGTAAGCCGTACTGCTAATCTTCTTCGAAACCTCCAAAATGAGCAATATATCTGCAATAAAGTAGTAAAGTTATTAGTAAAGTTATCAGGTGACAAAAGCAAAACAGTCTCTAATTGCTAAATAAACAACAAAAGTAACAAGCATTCACTAATCTGATACTACCGTAATGAATGCAGCAATTGCAGCAGAAATAGAGTGATAAGGGGGAGAGAAACTAGACTTGAGGAAGAAGAAAGAGAGATATTATTCAAAATGATTTTTCCATATTGCCCAATCCAGATTTCTGCATTCTTATACAGCTCAAGAATAACAAAATAACTACTTGATTGTTGACTCAGCACAACAGTCTAACTAACAAGGAAGATTCCCTTTAACTACTTGAAGGAAATACATTTCGCATGTACTATACTGGTATTCTTCAAGTGAAATACTATACTAGAAATACATTAATTCTTCAAGTTGAAACTGACAATCCACTGCAGAGAGACCAAACAGTACTATACTGGTATTAAAGGCTAGACGGACACAAATTAATGGAAGGGGAGAAGATGGAGAAGGGGAGAGTATGTGTAACAGGTGGAACTGGACTTTTTGGCATTATGGTTGATCAAAAGGCTTCTTGAAGATGGTTATTCTGTCAACGCTACAATTAGGTCCTCTTCAGGTTCATGTTTGCTAATTTACTAGTAATTAGTTCTTTACTTGAATTACTTTACCATTTCCATCTGCAACTTTACATATCATCAGAACAACAGTTTTTGGCAACTAAGTAGGAGCTAATTTCAGAAACGAAGGGTCTGAGACAGAACAGCAAATTCTCTGCACCATATTTCTAACAAGAAATCAGAAGCTTTGGTCAGCAGAGACAAAGGGAATGAAGAAGACAGTGCCATGATAAAATTCAACCAGGAAAGAAAGGATTTTCCAGAGTAAAGGCGGTAATTAGGAGCGCCAAAGTTTCCGTCTGAGCTTTAAAGCCTAAATGTCATTGCAAAACAGAAAAACTAGAATCAGGACACCACATAGCAAATCATTAGGCTTAACTAGAAATTGCATGACATTAATGTTTAGCAAGTATTCAAAAAGCTAAATCAGTATTTTGTTTTTGCTGTTCATTCCTAACCTAAATTAGTAAGAAGATATCAAATCTTCCTACTCTGTCCACAACGACCAGTAGTGACATAGACACTACACTAGTTTGTGTTCAAAACACTGAGAATAATAAGTGGCACCCACAAGAATGAAAGGGAGAGACAGGTCCAGAATTGCCATGAACCTTTGAAACCTGCAAGATGCAAGCGTTTCTGTATCTTGACCATAAAACGTCTTAAACATGACAATATTTTAAGTTTTTAGCTAACTCATTGGCCAAATGACAATAATAATCTTTTCTATTCTTTAGCCCTTCTGTGCTCCTCAAATTAATATCATGAAACAGAAACACTATTGAAGCTTTTTTTTGTGTAATGTTATTGTTTCATGATAACAAAGCTATGATAAAGCCACAAATGTACTCCCAGGATCAAAACACCAGCTGATTAGAACCTTGAGTTGACAGAAGTAATTCTTAAATGTCCCTCCTCAGTCTTGATATTACAAGTTAATATTGTCACCTACCAATAACTAATTTGCAATAACTTATGTTAACTTTAAACCATAGCAGCCATTATATCTATTTAGACAAGTATATATAGTTGAAAATTGCTTACCAATCAGTTCGTTCAGATGTGCCTTCATCATCTTACTTGTTGGCTTGCAGCTGTGCTTTCAAAGATTTAAGGAGATCTTGCATTTCACTTTGTTGGTTCTGCATTTCACTTTGCTGGTTCACAAGCTTCTCCATAAGTTGTTGTTGAGATTGGACTGTTATTTCCAGCTCAACTGAGCGCTTCTCCGCTTGTTCTGCTCTTTTCTTGAAATCATCTATCTCTGCAAGCTTTTGGGCAATTATTCCAGCTTTGGAGGGACCACGGCCATGTACGTATCCGGTTACACGTCCAGTTACTTCAATGGAAATGTCTTCTTCAGTCCTATTTGCACCACTGGATTTAGATTCCAACTTTTTCTCCCTCATCATGCTCTGTCACAAAGGTAAATTCTGAAGTTAGACTTTCATAAGAGTTGTACAACAATATTAGAGTAGCAATTCCATTTTTCTTACTAAGTTCATAGCAGATGTTTCGTCAACCATTGCATTCTTCTTCTTGCTGTAATGGGTGATGTCATAAAGTTCTATTGGTCCAACTTCCCTCCCTTCTTATGCTTCCTGTTACAATAAGAAGTTAAATAACCTGCCTAAACAATCCAAAAGACATGTCTTCAAGATAATCAAATACCCGGTCAGCTTTATGACGAAGAAAGGATTTTGTTCCAGCTGTATGAGCAGTTTTTTGCTTTGATCTATTGATCTTGTTCCTCTCACTTATCTTCTGCACTTATCAAGTTCAGCCATGATCAAAATTTAACACACAAAAAACATGAGAAAGAACAATAGTAAATGATCAAAAGTCGGCCTCTATACCATAAAATTTAGACTACAGAAATAGTCACAAAGGTAAATCCAATCAGATTCTTCAACATATTGTGGACGATTTGCAAGTGCTTCCTCTTTTGTACTAAATTTCTTGAAAATCTTGTGAAAATTGTATCGTCGACTTCTGTACTGTGTATTTAACTGCTTAAGAAGTGCTGGCTTAACATGTTCTCCTTCATCATAAGCAAAACTATTCTGAAATATGAGTGAAAAATTTATTGTAAATGTCAGAAAAAGTGCATAAATGACCTGTTGCAGAACTAGTTGTTACCAAGTCAAGAAGAAAAACAAGCCTTCAAAACAATTTCACTTACATTAACAAGTTTTAGCATTCCTTCTCTATCAGATTCTTGGAGTTTGGACCATTTTTCTGCTTTCCATTTGCCATATTTACGAATGACACAACTTGCCTCTGAGATGTACTGTTGTGCCCCTTCTCCAATTACTCTTCCACTAACTTCAGAGACCTGGACTTTTACCTTTTTGCCGGCCTTTTTTCCTTGGACAGTGCAATATTGCGAGTATATCCTCTTTTCCTAGTTACATTGATACCACCTACCCAAAACATAGTACACAGTTATGAATGTGAGTGGAAAAATCTGAAATGAAATTAGCTGTGTAATATAAATTACAAGTAAATCTCATATACCGGTATCATTCTGTTGAACATCATCGCTCTCATTATTCCGGTCACTTCCACAACCAATGGACTGGTTAGATCCGACTTGTACTGAAGTAGGAGTAGTATTTTGCTGCTCAATAGATGTAGGAGTTGTCAACTCATGTCTTGATGATCCTGTAGTAGTTTTGCGACCATTTGAGGTAGTAGGATCCTAAAATCCAGCCAACTACACATTAGAAATGTATTTTTCAAATATTGCCAACTACCAAAAGTAAGAACTAACCTCAGTCTCATCAAATAGGCGAATTTGAACTGACTTTCTAGATAGGCTGAATTCAGCACCATTATTGGCATTGCTAGCCAGACTACCTTTTGGGCCACCAACTTGCTATAGTGAAGTAAGAAATACACAGCAGGGCAGATGCTTAATTGTTTAAAACCAATGGTATAAAGAAGTGAAGGTACAAGTACATAGCAAAGTCAATTTTCATCACCTGTTCACCTATTTTTTCTCTAGCTTCTGCTGCATTAGGTATTTCAGCACCTCGAGTTGGTCGCATAGGACATTTTCCTTTCTTCCCTGGCCCATCCATGTAACTACATGATAAAAAGATATCAATCAGCCATGCATTTAGACTAAATATGTCTAAAAAGCCAGGACAAGGTACAATTACCAGCATGCTCACCCGAAGGAGGAACTTAATTAATATGCCTTGTATTTTACAATAGATATTGCAAATTAGAAGATAAGAGTGACTAAAAGTAATTCAAGATAAGAAATACACTTGATTTGAACCAAAAGTTACATGGTAACTATAAATAGAAACTGAAAATGTTATTTACAACATCGTTTAGTCAGACTCATAGTCATCACTTTCTACAAATTTTCCACTTTCATCTTCACTCGAGCTCAATTGCTGAATCTCATCATCATCAACAAAAAAATCATCCATTTTCCTGGCATGTTTAGCTGAAGAATCAGAATTTAGGATGCCAGTTTCTACAGCTTCATCAGCTAGCATATCACCTCTTTTCAAGTTAGACAAATCGACATTCTCTTGAACCCCAATTAGGTCTTCAAGATAATCTTCTTGGTAAACCTCTTCTTCTTCACATGATTTATCCTCATCCTTTTCAAGAATAGCATATGATGAACGTGGACAGACTGACTCGACAACATGCCAATCACCTCCAAGCCTCATATCCTTTACGTAAAAGACCTGTTCGGCTTGGGAAGCGAATACAAATGGCTGGTCTATATACCATTTTTTTGACAAATTGACGCTGCTTAGATTACTCTGTTTGTCTATTTTAAGACATGAGCTATTTTTCAAGTCCCACCAATCACACTTGAACAGAACTACTCGGCTTTGACTGAAGGAGTATTCAACCTCTAAGATATCTGTAATAGCACCATAGAAGTTTATTTCTACATCAGCATGCTCACCCTTCACCATAATGCCACTATTCTGGGTTTTTCTGTCTACCTCACGTGTTTTGGTATGAAATCTAAACCCATTGACATTACAACCAGGATATTTGATCACTCTAAAATCCAGTCCTTTGGCCAAAGACAACAATTCATCACAGCATCTGCCTTGTGTATGCATGTAAGTGACCTATATAACCCAAATAAGAAATTAGAATGACTGAACAAATTAACAACTATATAAATACCACAAGTTTTCTAGTAGTTTGTTCCATACTTACACGATCTTCAAACCACTTTGGAAACTCTAAATCGTGCATCTACTCTACATTCGACACATTTTGCTGCTGAAGCAATTCTTTGTGCATCCTATACAATAGTATTATTAGTTATCTATGTGCTACGGTTAGTGCTATAATTGACTAAACATATAACACTTCTCATATACATAAGGTAATAAATTTATTACCTTATGTAATCATCAATTTCTTCACAATTTTTCAAGATGAATAAATGTATTTTCATCAACTCTGATTCACTTAAGCAACAAAATGTTGCTGCCCCAAAAGGCCGAGCCATTCCAGAAAAAATAGACAACTTTCCAGCAGCCTCAAAGCGTTCGGTGTTTCTTTCTGGTTCATTAAATATTGTAGGAACATTGTGCAAGTACCTAGAAATGAATGTTAGACATTCATCATCCAAGTAACGCTCAACAATGCATCCTTCCGGTCGAGCTCTGTTGTGCACATAACCTTTGTATTGACCCATTTTTCTGTGTCACAAAAATGCAGCCATAAGATGTCACAGCAGTACGACCCTATGAAGCAAAAGAAGATTCAGTCTTAAAATAGCCTTTACACTACCTCTCAAATGGGAACATCCACCGGTATTGTGCTGGGCCAACAAGTTTTGCTTCAGCAGGTAAATGGACCATTACATCGAAGAAATTTGGAGGGAAAATTTTTTCAAGTTTGCAGAGTATTACAACAATGTTTTTCTCCTGTGCATCTAACTCATCTACATAAAGAGTCCTGGAACAAATTTTCCTAAAAAAATTGCTTAGTTCTACCAAAGTTTGGGAAACATCCTTTGGCAGCATGCCTCTAATTGCTAATGGAAGTAGACGTTGCAAGAATACATGATAATCATGACTCTTCATCCCTGAAATTTGGCACTCTTTTGGCTTAACACAATGAGATATGTTTGAGACAAATCCATCGGGGAACTTGAGTGAGCTCAAAAACTGGCATAGTTTTTGTTTTTCGCTGCGTGAAAGAGTGTAGCATGCAGCGGGCATCACCTTTGAATCCCCTTGAGTTTGAAGATGCAATTCTCCCCTCAATCTCATTTCCTTCAAATCCTCTCTAGCTTGCCAAGTGTCCCTATTTTTGTGTCCCGTACCCATCACTGTAGCCAACAAAATTTTACACACATTCTTCACGATATGCATAATGTCCAAGTTGTGTCTAATTTTGTTAGTACTCCAATATGGAAGCTCAAAAAAAATGCTTTTCTTCAACCAATTTGACTGATTTTGCATGCGTTTTCTTTTCTTCTCTTTAAGCAATTCAGGTGCCTTACCAAACACCATTTGATCAAACTCTTGAAGTTGTTCAAAGATTTCTTCACCGGATAAAGTTCTAACAGGCTGTCTAAGATCACTCTTGCCATCAAATGACTTTCTTTCTCTGCGTCATTTATGGTCCGCTGGCAAAAATCGCTGGTGCCCCATATAGCAACATTTTAATCCATTTCTCAGATATACACTGGTTGTATCATCTAAACAAATAGGACAGGCCTTATAACCTTTTGTACTCCACCCTGACAAATAGGCATATGCTGGAAAATCACTTATAGTCCACAATAGAGCAGCCCGTAACATAAATTTTTCTCCCATAGCTGCATCATAAGTCTCAAAGCCAGTGTCAAAAAACTCTTTCGACTCATCAATTAGAGGCCTAAAAAATATATCCATATAATTTCCTATGCACTTAGGACCTGGAATAATCATTGATAACAGGAAAAAAGGGTCCTTTAAGCATTTCCAAGGTGGTAGATTGTAAGGAACGAGGATTACAGGCCATATACTATATGCATTATTCATGTTTCCATAGGGATTGAAACCATCAGTTGAAAGCCCCAACCTAACATTACGAGGATCTTCGGCAAAAGATGGGTGACTGTTATCAAACTCCTTCCAAGCTATTGAGTCAGCAGGGTGTGTCATTGTGTTTTCCTTGGGAACGCGTCTCTCTTTATGCCACCTCATATCTTGAGCTATCTCCTTGTTTATGAATAGTCTTTGTAACCTTGATTTTAAGGGGAAATAGCGAAGCACTTTTCTAGGAATTTTAGAACCCGGGGATTTATAACGAGGTGCTTTACATTTTTCATTTGGGCAGTGATCGAGGCTTTCATTTTCTTTCCAATAAAGTGCACAATCATTTTCACATGCATGTATTTTTTCACACTTGAGTCCTAGCTCACGAATTAAATTTTTTGCATCATAGTATGAGCTAGGAATTGATGCCATGGGGAAGACTTGAATGAGGAATTTCAGCAGCATATCGATGGATTTGCAAGTCCACCAATTCATAGTTTTCAAATGAAGGATATGGACAACAAAGGAAAGTTTTGAGTACTTATCACAACCCGGGTAGAGACTTTTTTCAGCTTCAGATAATAATCTAAGAAACTTACTTGCTTCCCCCTCTTGCTTATTTGGTATATCCCTATTATGTTCCCCCGAATTTCTCCAATTCTCGCCAAAGTTTGCAGTACCAACGTCATTTAACATTTCTTGAATATCATCTGACTCACTGTTTTCTTCATCTAAAACTATGTTATCATTTTCATCCTCATCAGAATCTTCAAACCTTTCACCATGATATACCCACCTAGTATAGCTCTCAACAATTCCCCCACACAAATGACTTTTCATGACCTCCATAGTTTGATCCTCAAAGTTGTTGCACCCTTTACATGGACAAGGGAGCTTATATGTGGGATCCTTGCCTAAATAAGCAAATTCAACGAATTCTTTCACTCCTGCCAAATATCTAGGATGCAAGTAATCTTTAATTGTCATCCAACTCCTATCCATGTTTTTTCACAAGCACTGTTGATCCTAACACAAAAAAATACGCAACCATGATACTACAAAGACAACACATATAATAAATATAGGAAATTAAGCTCAATACAGGAAATTAATCTTCCCATACAACAATAATAAAAATTAAACAAAATACAACACAGCTATTAGTAAATTCAAACATGTCACAACTACACATTTGGTTCATAAATACAAAAAGGAAACTAACTGTCAAACATGTCACAAATACACCTGGACGTTCTTGTCAAAAAGGAAACAAACTTTTGGTTCATAAAGAAGACAACAAAACGAAAAGGACAGGGGAGAAATTTAATTATTAGATCTCAGTGGAGATTTCCTGGGACGGCACTGAGATCACAGTAACAAACAACTAGTTCAATCAATGGCTATCATTACCTGGAGCAGTATAAAAATTTTAAAAAGGGTATCCCTCTAAAGTTATTAGTTCTTAATTAAGTCTAGGTAGAATATTTTAAAAGGTGTTCTTATCTCATTCAACACTAGTTAAAATATTTTAATCACATGTTATTTATCATCTGAATATACATATTCGCAATTATTATTTTCTTTTATATTTATGCATTTTTCTGTTTAACTTTAATTTTCTAAAATTTAACACTTGAATTATTTCTTAATGAGTATCTAATGAATAAATAACCCTTACTTTAATTAGGCAAGTTTAGCTCCTTGTGAGATCTCAGTTGAGGTTTTTGGGGACAGCACTAAGATCACATTAACAAACTAGCGCAATCAGTGGCCATTGTTATCTAAGGCCCTGGAAAGACCAATTAGGGAAAAGGCACCATTAAAGTTTTTACCCCAGTCAAAAGTTTGATAGTAGTTTGTCTAGTTCTTTTTTTCTTTTTCTTTTGTTCCCGCTTAATGTTTTCATGCTTATCTGTTCTTCTCTCGTGTTTGAGGTTGTCTACAATTTTACTTTTGGGTCCAAAATTTGCAGTCAGATGATTAGCAGTTTTGATTAATTTTCAGTGAGAGTTGTATTGTGCACCCTTTGAAATGTATGTAAGTACTAAATCTCGCCATACTAATGGTAAGATATCGAAAATTCATCTACTATCTTAACAGAATTTACATCTTACATAAGTAAACTTACCAGTTGTAACGTGGTAACTTGGTGCCTTCACGACACCACAACATTTAGCAGTTATAAATGTTAAGAATTTTCCATAAAGCCACTTTATAAAATCTTCAATGAAGGTTATCTAATTTTCAAATTTGTTAAGTATAATACTATAATGTGAGCACAACAATATGACCACTTTGCTTTATTCCAAAAAAAAAGTGATGATAATAAATGGATAGGAACAAAACCATCCGAAATGGGACTCAAATCAATATTCAACATTAATTGGTTCACATTTTCCACAAGTCAACATCCCATTTTTTTTAATCTGGATTTGCTTTGAAAGCAAATTGATACACAAATCCAAGATAAAAATAAGAAGAAAACGAGTGAAATATTTCCTCAATAAGGACAGTCTTCATCCAGCATTTGCTGTGATTGAGTTATTATGGGTCCTAGACATAAGACATTTTTTCTTTCTTTTTCCTTTTCTTGGTGCGAGTATCCATAAATTGTTATTTACCATCTGGACAAGAAGGAAAGTCCAAAATACATTCAAAGCATCTCTATCAATTTTCTTCAGGCCCCATGCCATGGACAGAGCATGATAGCTATATATCAAGAACTTTTATTGTTTCAATATACTCTTGCGAATAGGAATTAAAATGCAAAACACAGCCTCGTCTACAAGCTCAATTAGCATGATAGCTATATATCAATCTACTGTGTGCAATGCAAAACAAAAACTCGTCTACAATCTCAATTAGCCACAACCTATGTAGCCACAATTGTTGAGGAATTCAAGGGATCAGGAAAGGGCTAAATCTGTGTAGCCACAGCCTGTATGTTAGGAGGCTGTTATGAACCCATACATACCCGAAATAAAATGTTGACAAAAAATTAACAAGGGTAAAACCCACAAGTAAGTAGAATCCAAAAGGAGGAGATGACTCCATCCATAAATCAAATGAAACCCAAAAAACTGGACTGAAATTTTTGGCAAAAAAAAAAATTAGGGCAAAACATTTGGGGGAAAATTAGGGAGGAAAAAGAGAATCGGCATACCTTTTTTGGTAGAGAGTTGCTGCTAAATGTGGTCTTCTATTTGATCATTTCCGAGCCAAGATCAATTAGGAGATGGCGAGGAGACGGGCGAGGAGATGTTTCGGCGAGGAGATGGCGAGGAGTAGTGTGCTACGGTTGGTTCTAAGTGTTAGCTGTTGGCTTTAGGATACTGATAGTGTGTGTTTTGTTCGGTGATACTGGTAGTGTTGGCTTTAGGATACTGGTAGTGTTGGCTATTTCGTTCTAAGTGTTCTAAGTGTTTCCGCGCCTCTCCTCAAAATATTGACTTTGAATGAAATTTCAATTCCTTAGATTTCCCCCTTGTTCAGTACCAAAATTTCAATCAACGTTTTTTAGTTTCCAACATTTTAGTTGAATTAATATTTTACTAATATAATATTACTTGCTACTTTTAAATATTTTTGTAAAAATATTCATAATGGATGAGAAAATTATGTTGAAATATTACAAGCGGTAAATGCACCTTGGATCTGCTTCAAATAGTTAATTTTTTATGACATCAAACAGTTGATCCGATATTAATATTACAAGTGAATTTTTAGCTTCAAATTTTAATTAAATTTACTAATGTATTTCTAATCACTACTTCTTAACATATTTATCAAAAAATTATAATGGATGAAAAATTTTTGCTAAATTCAAAGAACTAGTAAATATATTCTTTCTCAAGTTGTAATAGTTTATATAGTTGTTCTAACTAGAAACTTTCATTAATTTTTTTCAGTTAAAAACCTATTGAGTAACTATGACTAGTTTAATAAATCATCAAATTTTTAAAAAATTAAATTAATATTTAAGTAACTATGACTAGTTTAATAAATCATCAAATTTTAAAAAAAATTAAATTAATATTGAGGCTCACAATTAAATAAAGTCATAGTTAATAAATCATCAAATTTTATAAAAATTAAATTAATATTGAGGCTCACAATTAAATAAATGCATTAGAGATGTTCAAGTTAGTGATAATACTTATGTTGTCACTAACTACGCTATAGTTTTACTGACAAAAATTTGTCGTCAGTAAACATAAACAGTGACAACAATGAAAAGTTGTCCAAAAAAGCGGTAGAATTACTGACAACATTTATCAAGTCGTCACTATCGCAAATCTCGCGCCATCCAAGGCCTATGGCGCGAAATAGTTTTGTGACGACAATTAAAGGTTGTCACTGAAAACTCAGTTGCTTTGAGTCAATTGTGACAACCTTCAAAGTCGTGACTAAACAACCTCATTTGTGACAACTTTTTGTCGTCACAAAGAAATGTTGTCACTAATGACCTTTTTTCTTGTAGTGTCAAGTTTTCCCAAATTGCATGAATTTCTCAAAAATGAGTCTAAACAATTGGTTCTTTAAACAATTATTATTTTAATGACCAAATTTATTCGAGTTGAATTATTTATGGTGCTTTTGATTGTTATATATACTTGTCGCATTTGCATCTTTGACTTTTAATAAATTTTATTATTGTTGGTTCTTAAATAAGTATGTGACCATAATTTTTTATATATAAATAAGTTAATTGTGAAAATATTAAGTTACTTGAATCTTGCTAAGTTAAATTAATATTTCATGATGTAGAGTATCTTATTGCTTTAATATTAATTCCTTGAATTTCAACAGCTAATTTTAAGTGTTATTAGCGTTAGGTGTTAAGGGGAAACTAGAATTAAGATGAAGTCGTTTTGAGTCAAAACTTTTTATAATTATGCTTAGGGCGTGAATCTCGATAGTTTAATTTTCTTTCGGGACTAGTATATTAGTAAGCTATCAAATTTCATTTAGGGTGAAATTTTGAAGTTAGTTTATTAATGAGAGCTTAAATGGAAGTCCGAATAAGTTGCTAAAAGACCGAAATAGCCTTCCTTCATTTCGAATCCACCATGCAGTCATGGAGTCTTCTGGAACAGTCTTCAATTGCATACAATTTCAACATGTCGGCTCCATGTTTCATTTCAGCATTTCCGCCATTATAAAATCGACTCAGCTCCACTACAACAACTACCATTTTCCACTTCTCAAACCAGCACCTTCCATTGCTATTGCCGACTCAACTCCACTCACAACACCTCAATAAATACATTCCACCTTCCTCATACGCGGCTTAGCTTTCCATTTCAGCAACTCCAACATTTCACAACATCATTCCATTTCACTTTACTCCCTGCCTTGGTACCATTGACGAGAGAAAACCAGAGAGAGAACTGTGCGAGTTGCAGACCTTGAGCTGTCTGAGAGTCCGTGAGAGCAGGAGATAACCGTGTGAGCTTTATTATTTCCTCCATCACCACCGAGAGCTGCTATTTCATTCCTCACCCTCAATCAGCCGTGATCGATTCAATCACAATCACCACAGCTGCAACTACTGAACTCAGACCAACCATTCTCGCGTGCGTGAGCAAGGCCGAGAGGAGAGGAAGATTTTCAGCCACTAGTCGTGTGTGTTGAGCTCCAAGCTGAGGTAATTTCTAGACTTAAACTAGTTGAGTATGGGTTGATGAAGCTATTTGTATGCATGCATGTGGGGTTTGTGCGGTTGGATGACAAAATTAAGTTACAAGAAATCTGGTTGTGAAGGAATTGGAATTGTCGAGAGCTTGATCTGGAAATTTCAGCTTTAATCTGTGAATTTGTGATGATCTGAGTTTAATTGTGGGTTTAGCTAGTTAAAAACTGATAGATAGTTAATTATTTGGTGTTGCATGTGAATTGTATGGCCGGAAATTAAGTTGTATGGCTGGAAATTTTTATTGGAAGTTGGTTGACTGCTGAACCAATTTTCCAGCTTAGCCGATGGAGTTATTTTGGGAGTTGTA